CCCCGCCCCCCCCAGGACCCTCCACCTCCCAGAGTCCCCGCCGCCCCCAAATGCGCCCAGGTGCCCGCCGCCGCCCGCCCCGCACGGATGAGCGTGGCAGCGTCTCGCGCAAGGGCTTCGCCGCAGAACCCCGGCGCCCGCCGGACGAGGGCCGCCGCGGTCCGCAAGAGCCGCGCGAACCAGGTGGGAAGGGCCGTCGCCGCCACCGCCGAAGCCGTCTTGTACCAGGGCCGTCGCGAGGCTGCCTTCTCCAGGGGCGTCATCTCCGCCCTTCGGCGGCCGGGCGCCGCCCGATCCGCTGTCGGGGAAAGGCGGGCGGAGGGGTGCGAAGGGACCCTGGCTGACCCGGCGATCGAGCGCGGCCCTGTCCGCCGTGCTGGCCACCCCCTCCTGGGGCGGCCCTGCAGGCCCAGCCCCCTGGCCACCAGACGCACCTGCAGCCCGAGACTCGCCGGGCAGCGGCGGTCGCGCGAGCCATCGGGATACCTTGCTGGGGGGGGGGGGGGCGTCTTGCCAGACGGCCGCATCAGGGGGGATTGCGTGGACCTGGCCGTCCGCGTCCAGCACTCGAACCCAAGAGCCAGGGGGCGCGTTGGCGGGGGCGTCTGCGGTCGAGCCGACAGGATCGGTCGTTCCCGCAGCACGGTCCTACTGCCTGGTGCCGCACGCCGCTCGGGCATCTGGCCGCCGCTGCACGCTGCCTTCACTTGTGACCCTGGGGTCGCCAGAGGCAAGACCCAACCCCGCGGGCGACTCGCGCGCTGGCTGAACCGCATAGTTTGCACAAGCTCGTCCCTGGGGGCGCCGCTCTTCGCGATAACTTCCTTTTCGGCACCCCCACTAGGTCCACTTCTAGGTGAGCCGGGCCCAGGTGAGGCGCAGCTGGGTCCCCAGGTCCTTCCAGCAGCGCCAGGTCTGGGTCCGAGGCTCGTTCCTCCGCCGCGTTGCTCACGAAACTGCGGCTGGAATTCATCGCGTTGTTCACGATTGCGCCGCTGGGTTCCGTTCTCCAGCCGCGGCGACGAGGGCTTCCCAGGTCTAGGACCAAGGCCCCGTTCCCCCCCATCACACTAGGTATGTCACGAATCCCGTCATGAGACAACGAAGTGATGTCGCGCTCTCACTGCAAGTGGTAGCGAACCCGGGGCGGGGAACGCAGCGGCGCAGGGAGGGCAAGCTGGGGGCCACGAAGGGGGTGGGCCCAAAGGGCCACCGAGCTGGGGTCAGGGAGGCCGCCATGGCCTTCTCCCCCCTCGTTCCCCCCATATCGCACTAGGTTAGGCGCGCCACTAATCGCGGCATGAGACGGCGAGATGATGCCGTGTGCACTGCCCGTGTGCACCCCGCGACCAGCAGCGAACCCAGGGCGGGGGGCGTCGCGGCGCAGGGAGAGCAGGCTGCTCGCGCGCCTGCAGCTCCCTAATTCAAAACAGGGTGCGAGACCCGGGAAGGACACTTCAATGGTAAAAACACACAATGTGTCCTGGAGGAGGGATCAGCAGTGATGATTCTTCAGTAGTGAGAGTTCAACAACAACAACAACAACAACAAGAAGAAGAAACAAAACAATAACTACAACTACAACTACAACTACAACAATCAGTTTAAAACTGTTCGCTCCTATCTGCGCGCGTGCCATCCAATACGTATATGCGGAACCTTCGGTACCCGCCCTCTTCGTCTTCAATTGTACCTCCCTGGACGGTATATCTTCCTTACCTGCCACGTGCATTTAGTGCAGCTCCTAAAACAAGGGAAGAGAAGGCGGGTGGAAGGCTGAGGGAGAAGGATGGAGCCCGAGAGAAATCAGTGGGGTGGGGTCAAAGAGCAAAAATCAAGTGGTAGAACCAGACGGGCGGATCGGGTGGGCAGACCCATAGCGGGCGGGTCGGGAAGGCGGGCCCAGGCGATCAGGTCGATCAGGCGGGTTACTGAAGCGCTGAAGCGTGGGTCCACCATGAATCGCGAGGGAGTCTCGGGCGACAGCGCGATTCCCAAGTAAATCGTGAGATAAGCCAAAGCGAGAGCGTGATCCCTGAGCGTGGAGGGCGCATCGTCTGAATAAATTGCGAGGAAGTTCAACGCGAGAGCGAGCTTCCTACATAAACTGTGAGGATGTCCCACGCGAGAGCGCGATTCTTCTATAGCTTGCAAAAGGAAATATCAGGCGGGAGCCATTGATGTTGTACCTCCGGGGCCAAGGACCCAATTTGACCTTCAATATTTTCTGTGATGAAAACCGGGTGCGAGTCCCGGGAGGGGCACTTCAATTGGAAAAATAGAACGCTTACCAGAAAGGGGGGATCAACTATAACTATTCAGAAATGAAGATTCAACACCAACAACGACGACAACGACGACGAACACGACGAAGACGACAACAATAGCAAATACAACACCACCACCACCACCAACAGCAGCAGAAACAACAACTACAACAATCACAACAGACGACAACATCAACAACCACAACAACAAACACACACGCACACTCACCCAC